TCCACAGGCTTGCTAAGTCCCCCAAAGTTTGTGTGTTAGAAACCAAATGCAGTGTAATGGGGGGGGTGGAATGTGAGGTGTATGCTGCCTGCATAAATGGATTGATGGCTTTACTGTGGGCTCTCCCTCTTGCTCCTCTCTCATGTTCTTTGTCCTTTTGACCTTTTGCCACTGGATGACACTGACAGAAGGTGTCAGCCCCTCAATGGAGGACTTCCTTGGTGTTTTCAGAACTAGGAACAAAGGACTATCTATTCTTTACAAATTTACCCATCTTCACTATTCTGTTATAATAATATAAAGGAACCAAGACACAATAAAAGTACTTGAATCTTCAGTGTCAGGGTTAAATGAGATAGTACACATGAAGTGTTGAGCATGGTGCTTGACCAGGTAGTGATGGATGAATAAATATTAGGCATACTGACACAGATATTTTCCCTAGATATTTGAGTTGCATACAACAATAAGTCTTCTATTTTATTAAGGTGGCTTGAGTTGGGTTATTTAGCCTACTAGTAAATAAATTTGATAAATATGTTAATAATATAATTAAGTGAATAAAAACATAAAGCTGTAAGGCTTATAAGTTTACGGCAGGCCAAGTCTTCTTTGGGCAGGGGCAAAGCAAGGGGATTGAACCAACTGAACATAGATCATCTCCCTCTCCTTAATTATGTTCCTGTATCAGTAATTTCATCTGAAACCTTTGGATTGAAAGTTCCTAGTTAGAAATGAGCTTTCCTCATCATTATTCTGTTTGTTCATTAAAATTCCCCTTTCAGAGCTGGGAATGTGGCTCAGTGGTAGGGTGCTTGCCTAGCATGCATGAAGCCCTGGGTTCGATTCCTCAGTACCACATAAACACAAAAAGCTGGAAATGGTGCCAAGGTTCAAGTGGTAGAGTGCTAGCCTTGAGCAAAAGAAGCTCAGGGACAGTGCTCAGGCCTTGATTTCAAGCTCCAGGACTGGCAAAAAAAAAAAAAAAAGAAAGAAAAATTCCCCTTTCACATTATTAATTCACATCTCTTGTATGAAGACTTAGTTTTCTAAAATTACATAATAATACAAAATTTGAGGACTCAAACATAAGGACGGAGATAAAACTAAAAGAAACTATTTCCATAATTACAATGTATGTTCTGCTCCTTCTTATTTAAGCCTTAAGCTGGGAAGTGTTTTTTTCAAATCAGTTTAGAGTAAATACTATTATTACTAAACAGCCCACATGCTAAATAGCATACTTTTCTTGGTATAGATTTCTGGAGGGATATGCAAGGGATTTGCATGCTTAATTCCCATTAGCACCTGTCACTGGGATTTATTATCCCAGAGTTAATTCTCTACTCAATGCAGCCAAGAAATAGGAGGCTCTTGTATATGGATTTAAATGAAGCTTTTTATTTATCAAAATGGGATGAATTTCATGTTAGTTCCTTAGACATTTACAGCAACCTCAAAGCCATAGTCAGATAAAATTTTGGTTAATATTTTTGTTTTAATTTTTGTTCAAATATGATTTTACTCAATAACTAGAAAAACCTATCCATATTTTGAAAATATATGGGAACAGGGAGCAGTAATAAGGATTTAGCTCAGTTTTAAAATCCATTGGCTCTTGTTCATCTCTTTAATAATCAGTAAATATTTATTGACTAACTACTAATTCTTAGCTGGGTTCTAGATTCTGGATATAGAGTACTGATCGTACTAGAAAAAAAAATTTCCCTGGAAAAGCATATATTTTATCAGAGAATATTCATCTATAAACATATAAGTATGTATACACATACATATATATATAGATAGATAAAAAGATTGCATACACACAGAAAGTGCTAGAACAAAACAAAACTTATGAGCAGAAATGAAGGTGGCTGTTGCTATTTTGGGTAAATTGGTCAGAGAAGGCCTCTCTAGGCAGTGATAGCAGAGCCCAGATCTGAGTGTTGTTAGCAAGCCTATTCTCAAGAGCCTAATGAAACACGCATCATAGATTTCCTGAAGAACAAAAATGTGACAGTTAACAAAATTTGGCAGGATGCTGGTACACTGGCAAATATCTTCTGTTACCATAGCTAATCAAGAAACTTGCCTGGGAGGTGAAGCTAATGTAGTTACTGGTGTGTTCCTGACCTTTCTTTTCTGTTTTCCATCTCTACTCTCTTCCCCCTTTCCACTTCCCTCTCTCTAACCCACTTCTCAAACCATTCTTCTGCCCTCTTTAGGCTGAATTTCAGTACTGAATCACTTTTCCCCTTATCTCTTTCTCAGTCTCCTAAGGAACACATTTCCTGCAGAATCTACTATTGAGCACTTCAATGTTCCAAGCAAGAGTCTGTGATAATTTCAACCATTTGTAACTGTACTAGACTTTGAGGGATTTTTTTCCCCAATTGAGCCTTTTGGATAATCAACCAATAATTAAATGATCAACCAATAATTAAATAATTAAATATAAATTACATATCAGATTCTGTATGGAGTACTGGGGATGGAATACAATGTTAATACAAGAGTAAAATTCTAGTTAGAAAAGAAAACCCAAAAAAGATTTGTGAAAGAATGAATGAATAACTTCAGAATTTTATTCAGGATAGTGATTACGGGGGAAGGGGGGAGAGGATATTTCCTTAATAGAATTTGGGCTGTTATACTTCTTGGAAAAATTCAAATATAATCATACTACTCCCTTTTTGTGATAGAATATTTAGAATAATTGGCAGGTTACTAGTAGCCTACCTGCACCACACAACATGGCTGTTACTCTCTACATGCAGCTATGTAAATCTAAATGAATTAAATATAATTTAAAATTACCTCTTCATAGTAGCCCCATTGTAAGTGCTAAATAGCCACATGTATGTACTGATTATGATTTTGGAGAGCATAGATATGAACATGTACCTCACTGCAGAAAGTTCTGTCGAATAGTACTGGTCTAGTTAGCATAAAGCTGGTGCAAATCTTCCATCCCCAATAAAAATAACAGTTAATAATTGAATGTGTCACACATTCTGCATATGTGTAATTCATTCAAGCCCTGACAAAACCCTTTATGAGAATTGCTGCTGTTAGACCTATTTTACAGATTAGGAAACAGAGATACCTAGCCTTACTTGTTCTATATCACCCATGAAGCAAAACATGAACTGGACAGATAATCGGACTCCAGTGCCTCCCCTCTTACCAAAACCATCATGATGTGTTGGCATCAGAAACTGAAGTGAAGAGATTTTAAGTGGCAGACATAGCCACTAGAACTGATGCCTTTTGTTGCTCTCTGACAAGTATATGGCCTTCTCAGGTCTATGGGATTCATCCAGGAGAGTTATCATGAGCTTGTGGTTTAGATGGAGCAGGGCAAAGCAGAATCCTGGAGTGTTAGAACTAAAAAAAGGCTCATCAATTATTTAACAGGTGAAAAAACTGAGCCATGTAGTTTACCTGACCCTTCAGGACAGCAAAGTGAGTTCCAACCATAGTCAGAATTAGAGATCAAGTTTGCTCTGTGAGTGTCAGTGTGTGTGTGTGTGTGTGTGTGTGTGTTTATAAAATGTACTGTTCTAAAAAAGAGCTTTTACTCCTTCCCGCTGTGCCTCTGTAATTGGATTATTTTAAATCCATTCTTTTTCCTTTGTTTCACCTTTCTTCCTGTTACCCACCCATTCTGACAGTCGTCCTTCATCCCTATAGCAGGAATCCACCACCTAACTGAACAGTCCTTTCTGAATCATAGCTGTCTTCCTGCCTTTTACGCATGCAGTTAGGAATTTGGAAAATATGTCAGATGTTCCAACAGCACTTTGGGTCTCTACAAATTCTGTTGTGCTTTTTATTTTATTTTATTTCCTGGAAGAATTTCTCCTCCTGTATTGCGTCAATACCTTTAAACACTCAAGCACAGACAGCCACCAAGATGCACGCAAAGAACGCACTGTGGAAGAAAGGAGTTTTCTTTCACTGATCGTTTAGTTTCCACCGCAAGGAGGTCACAACACAGATTTGCCAGAGCGAGGAAACAGTCTGATCGCCGCTGACAACCCAGATAGTGAACTGGGACACTGAATGAAAAAAAGCTTCACGACTTCTTCCCCAGCACTTGGGGGGACAAGTTCGAGTCCACATTAGGCGTGATCAACCAAAACAAAACAAAAGCCATGAAGTCCTAGAGCGAGCCGAGTTTCAGGCAATCTGGCTCCGGCTTTGCCTGCGCGGTGTGTCCGGTAGCGCACAGCCCAGCGGCCCGGAGCGCGTCCCCAGCGCTGGCCCGGCGGAGTCAGGCTCACCGCGGGAGGCGCGCTCTCCAGCGCAGCCGCCGCCGCCTCTTCCCCGCGGCGTCCGTCGCCGCGGCTGGAGTAACACCAACCCGCGATCACCAGCTCCGGCACCAGGCAGGGATCTGGCTCCATCCTGGCTTACATAAGGTGGGCGAGCGCGCGCCCGGCGCCGCTCGGCTCCCACCCCCAGCCCCACCCCCAGGCAGAGTTGGGCACCTCCTGGGCGAGCGTGCGCCCCCCACCCCACCCGGATCCCCCATCTCCGTGCGCCCCGCTCTGGGAGGTTGACTGTCCTAGGCCCTTCCCTGGCGGAGGCGGCGGCGGCGGAGGCTGGGGCGTCTCTTCTTCCCGGGTGAGGAGCGCTGAGATTGGAGATCGGAGCGCCTCACCGTGCCCGAGCCTCTTCCTGCCGCTCCCTCCCCTCCCACTCCCCCTCCCCACCCCGGGCTCCGTGGCTCTGTGTGTGTGTGTGTGTGTGTGTGTGTGTGTGTTCCGCGCGGGCGAGGGGACCCGGAGAAGCACTCGGCGCTCGGCTCGCGCGGCGGCGGCCGTCTCGCTGCGCCCTGCCTGGACTTTTTTGCTCCCCAAGTGGGGAGCTCAGCAGCCCCTGGCGGGGAGACTTCAGGTCGTCGGTTCGAAGGCACGGGCGGCGGCGGAGAGCGATCGTCAAACTCCTCCTCGCCATCTCCTCTCCGCCCCTCGGTTGCGCCCCCCCCCCCGCCCTTGGAGAAAAAGTGGAGTGTGGTGGCGCTCGCTGCTGGTTATTTCCTTTGGACTGCTTGGTGGGGCACGGATTCGGCTGCTGCCCGGTGAGGATTTGCTGCCCCCACCCCCCTCCGGCCCCCCTACACACACACATAGACACATACCCCACCTCGGGCACCCCCTTGGATCGGTCCACCATGAGGAAAGGACTGCGGGGCACCGCGGCCCGCTGCGGACTGGGGCTGGGATACTTGCTGCAAATGCTCGTGCTACCTGCCCTGGCCCTGCTCAGCGCCAGCGGCACCGGATCGGCCGCCCAAGGTAAGCTGCAGGGGTACGGGCGCCGGGGTGCGCGGCCGCTTCTCTTGCTTTCCTCCTTTCCCCCACTTTCTACCTCTTCTCCTCCACCTGGACTTCTGCCCCTTTCCCCCCCACCGTCCCAATCTGCCTCATGCCTCGCAGCTGGAAACCACTTTTAAATGCCACTTTCCCAACTAGTGAAGGAGCTTTGACTGTTCGGATTTTTCATCGTTTTATTTTTATCTGTTTTTTGCTTTCTCGAGATGAGCCAGGATGGAACGGGGGACGCACGCACGGGGCTGTGGACCCGTCTCGGTGCCTGTGGGAAGACTGGGGGGGATGGCAGGGGGGGGGAGTATGTGTCTCTTGCACTTTGGGCTGTGCACACGCGCACGCGCATCGTTGCCTGTGGTCCACGCGGAGGTTTAGGGGACGCCGTGGGGGGTGCCGTGGAGGCACCCCGGACGCGCGTGTTGTGCGGGGGCTCCCCCGCGCTGTGCGGTGACTGGCCTGGCAGGATCTTCCTTGAGTCTCAGCTGGGAAAATGTGTCCTTTACAGCCAAGGGGCCCCTATCCTTCTCCTCCCCCCCCCCCACACTGTGCCCAAGTGGTCGGTGCCCCTCTGGGCTGCTGGTCCAGACGCGCTAAAGCTAGATCGCCCTCCCTGACCCACGATCCCAGAGAGGGGCAGGGGCCGGGTGCGGGTGGGCACGCATGCCTTCTCCGCCCTCACCCTCTCCGGGTCTCCCTGGCACCACCACACCAAGAAACTTAAGCCCTTATCTCTCAGAGGCAAGAGGCTGCTGGTTCAAAGCAGATCTGCAACTCCCCGGCGTGACTAGCCAGTGTAGAACGCTGACATGTTCATTAACGCGTGTAAGCCTTCAGATATGCGTACCAGGGCTCTGGACCAGGCCAGCCTGGGAGGAGATGGGCTCCGGGATTGAGGGTGGACAAGAACCCAGGATCGGCCCCGAGGCTGATCGCTGCGCTCCCCGGAGGTGGGAGTGGAGGAGGCTGCACCCAGCCTTTGGGGCTTGGTGACCTGAGAAGGAGTCCAGGCTGCTCTGTCCAGGGTTTTCCTCGGGTCACCTGGATCTCTGAACCTCCAGGTGAAGTCGAGCTCACACCGGAATCTTTTTTACTTCATTTTCCTGTAATTGCTAGCTGGGGAAGCTTGGAAGCTTTTCCTGGAATTGGAGTGGGGGATCGGGGAACGATGCAAGCAGAGGCAATTCAGGGATCTCTACACACATTCACTCATGCACAATCCTAGGATACACTTCTTTTCAAATCTGGAGAGCTGGGTAGGCGCGTGCTAGCCCCAACTTCTTAAATGAGGCTCAGCGGCTGATGTGTCTTTCTGTGATCAGGGGAGACCCCGGGGGTCAGGAAGAGGTGTGGTGGTAGATGGGGGCTCAGGAGCCCCCAGGCCTGGTGAATGTGGTAGGGTGGAGAAGTGAGCAATTAGCAAAGGCTTGTGAATTAGCGATAGCGACATCCTCGAGAGTGAATTTCCCTGCTGCCCTGCTAAGTGGCCCAGCTCCTAAATCCTTCCTCACCAGATGTCTCTGGTCCCTGAGGTTCTGCTCTGGTTTTCTTCTGCACACCTCCGAGTTCATCTGTCTGTCCATTTTGCAATCTCCACAGTGAGAATATGGGGGGGGGGGGTAGGGAAGCTTGTAGGTTTCTTGCAATTGGTAAGTTCTCTGAGAGGCAGCCTAGGATGCCTAGAGGTGGATGTTTGGAATCCTAAGTGAGCAACCTGATGCATAGTCCTGGAATCAGCCCTGTGACTCCATGTGGAATTCTCTTGCTGTTATTGAGTGCACAAAGGACTAAGCCATGGTGGGGGGGGGGAGTCGATAGGGAGAGAGCAGGAGACGGGATGAGGCAACTGTTTAGGAAAGAACAAGTTAAAGTAGCCCAAAGATACCAAAAAGAGATAGGATTCCTGCTGAGACCTTACAACAGCTAAATTAAAATGACTGGGTAGAAAACAAAAAGGATCAATAAAGATAATCAAACTGGGCACGGTAAGTGGATTAATATTGAAAGAAGAAGGGAGAAGAGATGAAAAGAAAAGGCACTCAAAATGCAAGGAATGCTAGCTGCTTGCATCTTTTCCCCCTCATTTCTTGTAGACCAGACAAGGATTAAGTGGAAAGAAAACTCATGTGTTGGGTGTGTGCATTTCACTACAGCTCTTCTCCATCTATTATTTAGTGCCTCTAGTTCTGGGTGAATCAGATTTGTTTTTGTTTAAATCCTATGGTGTGAGTCAAGTGTCACTGGCTTATTGCTTATTCCCAGCTATTCAGGAGGTTAAGGTCTGAGGCTCATGATTTGAACCCAGCCCAGGCAGAAAAGTCCTCAAGAGTCTTAGTAACAACTAACTACCAAAAAGCAGGAAATGGTGCTGTGACTCAGATGTTAGAGTGTCAACCTTGAGAAAATAAAGCTAAGGAACAGCACCCAGATCCTGAATTCAAGCCCCTAAACCAGCACACACAAAAACTCAAATTGTCTATAAAATTGACTAAGACTTTCTTCTTTGTTATCACCCATGTTTCAGGGCACTTGCCCTTCCTGTATTGTCTGGGTGGTATCGAAAGTGGAAGGCACCAAACTCCAATATTAGCTGCCATCATCATTTCTGCTATCCATTACCCCAGCCTGTTTCCTACTCGACCACTGTTAACACTATCCTCTTTGAATCATGCTTTTTTTTGGGGGGGAGGGTAATGAGACTTACAAGTCCTCCAGTGTCTCTGTGTCCTTCTCACCTTGCAATAGAACAAACTCTCACCTATAACCTCAAGGTGCCATTTCCTTGTTCTGATGAGTTCAACACCACATAGGACTGTTTTTATGAATGGAAATGCATATGCAATAAAGATAGGAAAGTTCTTTGTACTACTTTACAATGTGAATGAAGTTGTTTTCAAAAATCGGTTTCGGAGGACAGGAGAAATGAGATATTTGAAAATAGATGTCCCCTCAGTGATAACTAAGAGAGGAAAAATCATGATGTTTAAGATAGAAATCTCAAGAATGGGTACTTTTTTTTTTTTATGAGTACTGAGTTTTGTAACTGGTTTAAAAACAGGCAGCAGTCATTTTAAATAGGTCCCTGGGAAATTCTCTAAGCTTTAGGCAACAACTTTCTCCTCTCTGGCTACGCTCTAATTGTTTCATCCCCTATTGCAGGGAACTCTTAGCTCCAGGGAGTTCCTGGTGCTTCTGATTTCCAAGAATGCAAGATTTTACTAGTGAAGGCAAGGAGCCTGTGTGTGTACATGTGTGTGCCTGTGTGTGGGGGGGGGGGCTTTGATTAGTTTGCTTCTGAAATTGTACCTCCTGTTGATGAATGCATTCTATCTGGTCTACAGAGCATTGGTATTCTGATTATCTAGCACCAACTAGTGTTATGAGTGTTAACACCTCCTTGTACAGAACTGAAAGTCACTGGTGACTGATCAGACTTTAGAGAATGCTCTATGATCTTAAAGTAATTAATAGTGTTTTAAAACAAACAAATAATATATTTTTGCCTAGAGAACAGTATAAAGGATTTCCATGCCTGTAGGCATGCTGGTGTGTTACAGCTTGATAATTGTCATTGAGGACAATTGGATTTCATTATAATTGTATCATATATATTTCCATTATAAAGGCAAATCTTAGGGAATGGTTAAAAAGGCTGCAGAGGACAAACTTTGCAAGTACATACACAAAATGAAGAATCATGGCCAGGCATGATAGTGCATACCTATAGCCCCAGCACTTCAGGCAAGTCTCAAGTTCAAGGTCAGCCTGGGCTACTAAACAAGAACTTGTCTAAAACAAAGTAAAACTAAATGAGGCAAACAAAAACCTAAAGAAGCAAATAACCAACAAGAAGAAGATCACTAGATTATAACAGACATTTATTGACACTGTGGCTTGCTATATGCTGTAGGGATTCAGAGTTCAACAAGACTGCATCCTGCCTATCTCCTATTGCACTTTGGGAACTGTCTGTAATCAGAATTCATACTGATTACAATCCTGATCTATTTTAAGCAGACTCCCTCAGGATGTGGAAAAGACGTGAGCTCAACTAGGCAGACGCTTTTAGCTTATTTAGGATTTATTGTTGAAACTTAAATACAACCGTTCTCTAATGTATGCTGCATTCTCCAATTAGTGCAACAGCAAGCGAGAGATGCTCTATTAGTCCTTAACTGCATTTAGCACTTTTCTGATTTAGGTCATGGCTTTGCTGGAGCAGCAGAGGGAGTAACTCTCAGAAGAAACATTAACCATGCAGGCTGTAGCTACTTCCGGAAGGAAGAGAAGGAATAAGACCAGTGGGGGTGGAGATTGGGCCTGTGTCAGTCTCCTGTCTTGCAGTTTCAGCCTAGATCTTTTTTTAGTTGACTTTTGCATCCGTGGCACTTAAAAATAAGCCTGTGCATATTGTCCTACCAATTGGAAACTCAGGAACTCATGGGTAGAGTATACTATTGGAAGAAAGGTTCCCAAAGAACAATTCTTGTACTCTGATACTGTGTCCCAGATCCTGTGCTCCGCATGAGGGACATAGACTCCAAGGAGAAAGCTTCTTCCTTGAGAACACAGACTGGCAAGCGCTTATAGCATGACTCACTTTCGGGAATCTAACTGTGGGGGTGGGTGGTGGTACTTTCTGGGTTCAAGCATGGAGATGGTAAATGCAGGTCAGGCCAGGAGTTTTAATGTGACGGGGTAGGGTCTGAATTTTCTATCTAGAAGTGATTTGGTTGAGAGTGGGTTTTGATTTACTTTTACTTTTTTCTTTTTCTTTCTTTTTTTTTGGTTGTAAGAGTGGTTCCTACTAATGTAGGATGGCTAGATTTATATTCTAGACCCTTTAGACCCTGCCTCTGGCTCAAGTGGCAGACTTATAGGATGTGAGATTTTCTTGAAGCTTAATTTACATTTCAATGGTAGGTTAGTTAGATTTATATATAGAATTATATATAATCTATCTGTCTGTC